CACACACACACACCCTCTCTCTCACACACACACACACACACACACACACATATATATATATATATGTATGGATAAAAGCATCAGCTAAATGACTAAATAAAAAATAAATAAAATATATATATATATATATATATATATATATAAAGCGCTGTCAAACGGTTAATCGCATCCAAAACAGCACATACACACAGAGAATTGAAATTGCGTTACTCTCAGACCCTTGGTGCATACAGATAACATAAATACAGATTAAATACAAAATACAAATAAGGTAAAATGTAAAAAAAAATATATATATATATATAAAGCACAAGGCATATGGCAGATAGAGTGCAAACCAGTAAAGTAAACAAGTTATTAAATATAATTATCTGTGATATAAATTATACATGTATATATTTTCAAAATGTATACTTAAGAAAAATGTGTTATGTTTATATATTAAATATATTTATCTGTAATATATAAATATATACATGTAAATATTTTCTAAATATATACTGTATGTGTGTGTATTTATATATACATAATAAATATACACAGTACACGCATATATTATGTCAACAGAAACTTTTATTTTGGATGTGTGTGTAATATTTTTATTTAAAAATCAACTGTCCTCATACAAGGATGTCATGTAGGTATATACTGTATCAGATGTGTTTCAAACATAAACATTAAAACATTACAATATTTGAATGCACTGTTATTATGATTTGATTATTCTTCAAGCATCACCTCCATCTTTAAACACGCCACGCCTACGATCAAAACATCATACTTATACACGTCACCTCTAAAGCTTGTTGGATCATTCAAACACGCGTATTCAGTGCTACAATTAATGAACTATAAATACATCAGTGGGTTTGGCTGGGTGTTTGTGTTAAAGGAACAGTTCACCTGAAAATGGAAATGTGTTCACTCTCAGTCCACCTAAGATTAGGATGAGTTTGTTTCTTCGTCAGGTTTGGAGAAATGTAGCATTGCATCAGTGTCTCAGCAATGGATGCTCTGCAAGTGAATGGGTGCCGTCAGAACGAGAGCTGATAAAAACATCACAAGTAATCCACAGCACTCCAGTCCATCAGTTAACATCTGGAGAAGGCAAAAGCTGAGACACATCCAGCATTAAGACGGTTTAACTAAAATATCATAGAGTCTATAATCCATAATAAGTCCATAAATGCATCTGACTTTTTTTCTCGCAATTCAGAAATGCAAGATATAAACTTGCTATTGAGAGAAAAAAGTAAGACGATATAAACTCGCAATTGCAAGTTATAAAGTCCAGTTCTGAGAAAAAGACGTATCACGCAAATTTGTACTTTTTCTCAGAAATGCGAGTTTATATCACGCAATTCTCACTTTCTAACTCGTAATTGCGAGTTTATATCTTGCAATTCTGAGAAAAATATTGTGAGATTAAAAAGTTGCAATTACTTTTATTTCTTTTATTCAGTGGCGGAAACGGGATTCCATGTGTTTTAAATACGAGAATGCAATTTTAGGAAAAATTCAGTCTGAAAGATGCTTACAGACATGTGTGTGTGTGTGTGTGTGTCTGCTCTTAGAGAAAACGGAGATCTGCATGTATTTCATCAAAGGATTCTGCAAGCACGGTGGTAAGAACGGCATTATTATCGTGTGATTCACAGAGCTGTGTTTAGTTTGAACGCAGCTGAACACCTGTGTTTCCAGTCTCATGTAGGAGGGAGCATTCCAATCTGCCCTATAAATGGGAAGTTAAAGAAGGATCGGAATGGAAGGCTCTTCCTGACAACGAGGCCATCGAGAAAGATTATTGCAATGCTGCAAGAACATACAGGTGTGTGAAAGAAAACACATGTCGGGATTAGTGCTGCTCTCCCAGCACAGTGCTATGATGCTGGAGGTGGTTGTCAGGGTGTTTTTTCAGTTGTGTTGCTATGCAGTTACTAAGGTGTTTGGAGTGTTTTTTAGTGTGTTGCTATGCAGTTACTAAGGTGTTTGGAGTGTTTTTTAGTGTGTTGCTTTGCGGTTGCTAAGGTGTTTGGAGTGTTTTTTAGTGTGTTGCTTTGCGGTTGCTAAGGTGTTTGGAGTTTTTAGTGCATTGCTATGCTGTAGCTAAGGTGTTTGGAGTGTTTTTTAGTGTGTTGCTTTGCGATTGCTAAGGTGCTTGGAGTGGTTTTAGTGTGTTGTTATGCTGTAGCTAAGGTGTTTGGAGTAATTGTAATGTTGATATGGGGTTGCTAAGGTGTTTGGAGTTTATTTAGTGCATTGTTTGTTATGCGGTTGCCAAGGTGTTTTTTCAGTTGTGTTGCAATGCAGTTACTAAGGTTTTTGGAGTGTTTTTAGTGTGTTGCGATGCGGTTGCTAAGGTGCTTGGAGTGGTTTTAGTGTGTTATGCTGTAGCTAAGGTGTTTGGAGTGATTGTAGTGTTGATATGCAGTTGCTAAGGTGTTTGGATTGTTAGTGGTTGCTTAGGTGTTAGGAGCGGTTTTAGGGCATTTTCTATGTGGTTGCTAAGGTTTTTGCAGTTTATTGAGTGTGTTTCATTGCAGTTGTGTTTGAAGTGGTTTTAGTTCTGTTGCTATGCAGTTGCTAAGGTGTTAGGAGTGGTTTTAGGGCGTTGCTATGCGGTCGCTAAGGTTTTTGCAGTTTATTTAGTGCGTTGCTCTGCAGTTGCTAAGGTGTTTGGAGTTTGTTTTAGTGTGTTGCTATGCAGTTGCTAAGGTTTTTGGAGTTTATTGAGTGTTTCTGTGCAGTTGTGTTTGAAGTGGTTTTAGTTCTGTTGCTATGCAGTTGCTAAGGTGTTAGGAATGGTTTTAGGGCATTGCTATGCGGTCGCTAAGGTGTTTGGAGGTTATTTAGTGCGTTGCTATGCAGTTGCTAAGGTGTTTGGAGTTTGTTTTAGTTCTGTTGCTATGCAGTTGCTAAGTTGCTGTGTAGTTGCACATTTGTAAATGTGATGTTTTTGGTTGATAACTATTTTATTTTCACCTTGATATTAATCAAACAGCCTGTTCCGGCAGTGCATGAATGGTTAGTGGAGTGTTCTGACGGTTTCTCTGTCTATCAAAGCTCTGGAATGAACCCGGTTTATTTCGATACGATGACCCAAGGCTCTCACAGCGTGCGGCGTCTGTCGACGGTACCGTCGGTGCTCCAGCCCACCTTCATCCTGACCACCGAGTGGGTCTGGTACTGGGAGGACGAGGATGGGAACTGGATCCAGTATGCTACAGCGGTAAGTGACTTTTTGCTAAACTTAACTATACTTTTCAACATTTGATGTTCTGTTTTTCTCTTTATTGATCAGGAGGGGGGTCATAGATTGTCTTCCATCTCCAGCGCTGAACTCGAGCAGAAGTATCAGGCCGATAACAACACTGTGGTGGAGTTCACAGCCGAATCGCAGACGTACGAGCTCAGCTTCACGGGTAACCTAAAAAAACATCGTACATTTAGGGGTTGTGCGATTACATATCGTCTATGATAGGATTGCAATTGTTGTTTTAATGATGTACATTATAGAGTATGTCGCTCAATTTGCAAAAAAAACTAACAAAAACACATCTTGAGCACCCAAAAGCATTGAATCCTACAAAACGTACCAAATGTTTTGCTTTCATAACTTGATTTAAGGGTATTTTAACGGCATTCTAACAGGCTTCATCACACAAGCCTGTTAGAATGCAGTTAAAACACCCTGATAATTTAAGTTATGAAAGCCAAAGAAAATTTAAGTTTTGTTTGTTTTTTATAAGCTATAATAAATTTAAATAAAGGGGTCATATGATGCTTTTTAAAAGATCATTATTTGGTGTATTTGGTGTAACAGAATATGTTGACATGCTTTAATGTTCAAAAAACACATTATTTTTCAAATACCGTACATTATTGTAGGTCCTCTATGCCCCGCCTCTTGAGCAGAAGTATCAGGCCGATAACAACGCTGTGGTGGAGTTCACAGCCGAATCGCAGACGTACGAGCTCAGCTTCACGGGTAACCTAAAAAAACATCGTACATTTAGGGGTTGTGCGATTACATATCGTCTATGATAGGATTGCAATTGTTGTTTTAATGATGTACGAGCTGACATTATAGAGTATGTCGCTCAATTTGCAAAAAAAACTAACAAAAACACATCTTGAGAACCCAAAAGCATTGAATCCTACAAAACGTACCAAATGTTTTGCTTTCATAACTTGATTTCAGGGTATTTTAACGGCATTCTAACAGGCTTCATCACACAAGCCTGTTAGAATGCAGTTAAAACACCCTGATAATTTAAGTTATGAAAGCCAAAGAAAATTTAAGTTTTGTTAGTTTTTTATAAGCTATAGTAAATTTAAGTAAAGGGGTCGTATGATGCTTTTTAAAAGATCATTATTTTGTGTATTTGGTGTAACAGAATATGTTGACATGCTTTAATGTTCAAAAAACACATTGTCATAGCAAAGTCAGAATGATCTCCTCTCCTAGCTTCACGAAACGGTCGTCCATAAAATGCATTGCTGTTCTGTTGTAAGTCATCTTAAAGATTCCTAAATGCATCTACTTCCGGAAGGCCAAATAAAGTGCTTTTGCTTTCGCCGAGAAACACGCAGCGTCTCCCTGACATGCTGCTTCAACACTAACTGCGGTTACTGAAACCACGCCTTCTTTCTTTGCTGCACATTTGGGCGCATTATGCTAATATTTCCACATAGTGAGGTAGACATGTGGGGGCGTGTTAGAACGAGCCGTTTTAGGGGGGCGTGGCAGAGTCTTAACTTTGATAAAGAATATCTCTTTGGTTTTGAGACTTTAGTCTTTGCAACTTCAGGGATCTTATCTATGCACAATCAGCTTCTAACACTCCAAAGAGAAAGGAACACTTGAAATCGCATCATATGACCCCTTTAAGTAATTTAACACAAGCAAGTGTTGTTTTCCTGAATATCAGCACATGAGCGCAATTGCGAATGGGACATTGATTTTATACAGCAGTTCAATAAACAAGAAATTTATATTTAGTGAGTTACATTTTATACACCGTATTGTATGATTTTTTTTTCTGTTTTCCAACGAAAATAGTTCCAAACAAAGCTGGAGTGGATCATATGTGCGTCTCAGAGCAACACTGCAGTGTTTCGCTCCTAGATGAATCTGTTTTTGAACAAATCATTTGAGTCAATGATTCAATGATCCATTCATAAAGACTCGGAATGAATCAGCCGTTTTGAATGAATCGTTTAAATGAATCACTCATTAATTGCTGCCACCTACTGGCGCTTTTAGTGTCGCGTTTACTTATCCATGAGCAAAATATTGTGAAATATTGTCAATATCGCACACTCCCACATACAGTACATTATACTTATAATAGTCTTGAGCTCTCTAACTGTCGTCTGAACTAATCTTGCTCTTCAGATATGATCCAGACAAACAAACGCTACACAACCAAAAAAGTCGTCAGACGTCGTCCCAAATTTGTGTCAGCGGCTGATGTTCGAACAATCAAGACAGCGTAAGAAAACACTCCTCATTCTCTCTCGAACTCTCCGAAACCTGTATGATGAAAAAAAACTCTTCATGTCTGTTTTTAGGAGAAGGACGCCCAATAATTTCAAGGCTCTGCCGGAGCACTGGGATAAAGCTCTGACTCCTGAGACCGGATACAAGGTGAGTGGAATCGTTTATCGGTGACTTTACGTGGATCTCTGTTTATATCGTTCTGTGCTGTTTTACACAGAGTGTGTGGCTGCAGAGCACGTCAGCCGAATACATCAAAATCAAAGAACTGTTCAGTCGCACCATGGTCGGCTTCCGAATCCTAAAGATCGAGAGGATCCAGAACAAAGCATTATGGGAAGTTTATCAGTGGTAGGTCCACAAGACATGCACTCACTGGAACGTCCAGATCGATTGCAGCACGTCTGACGGTTTGCGCCACTTTTAGGCAGAAGGACTTCATGAAAAAGAACAACGGAGGCAGAGACGTGACCGAGAAGCAGCTCTTCCACGGCACCGACAGCACGCATTTAGATGCCATCTGCCGCAACAACTTCGACTGGAGGATCTGTGGGACTCACGGCACGGCCTACGGAAAAGGTGGCTTCATCAGATAACCTAAAACAGTGTTTAATAGTTCAACCAGAAATGAGAATGTGCTGGATGAGTTTGTTTCTTCGTCAGATTTGGAGAAATGTAGCATTGCATCAGTGTCTAACTGCAAGTGAATGGGTGCTGTCAGAACGAGAGCTGATAGAAACATCACAATAATCCACACCACTCAGTTAACATCTGGAAAAGACAAAAGCTGAAACTAATCCGTAAAAAATAAATAAGTATCATTATAAATAATATATAAGCAAGTTGTGTATGTTTCAATGCTCAGACTTTGTCTGAAGAACACTAATTCAACAAGTACTGTTATACCAAAACTGCTTCAAAGCAACATCCCATAAACCTTGAGCTTCCATAAACATTCTGTCGTATATATCTCTTATTCATAAAGACAAACAGCTCTCGTGATTAATCAATCAATGAAATGCTCGCTTGAAGCAAAACACACACAGGCTGCATCTAAGGATCCCACGATCCTTCATTATAGACTCGTGTTTGAGTTATAAACGTCTTAATGATAGATTTGTTTCAGCTTTTGTCTTCTCCAGATGTTAGCTGATGGACTGGAGTGCCGTGGATTATTGTGATGTTTCTATCAGCTCTCGTTCTGACGGCACCCATTCACTTGCAGTGAGACACTGATGCATTTCTCCAAACCTGACGAAGAAACAAACTTTTTTTGGTTGAGCTATTCCTTCAAACGCACATCTTGATGTGTCTCTTTTTGCAGGTAGTTATTTTGCCAGGGATGCCAAATACTCGCACAGCTACACCAAAGGCTCAGGCACTCGCTCCATGTTCGTGTGTCGCATTCTGGTTGGCAGCTACACCAAAGGTGAATCCAGCTACCTCCGGCCTCCATCCAAAGACGGAGGAGACACCGTCTTCTACGACAGCTGTGTGAACGATGTCTTCGATCCGTCCGTATTTGTAGTGTTCGAAAAGCACCAGATCTACCCCGAGTATCTGATTGAGTACAGCGACTCCTCAGGTGCTTCTCCCTCACAATCCTCTTCCTCAACTACTCCGAAGTCTACTTCAACGTCAGAGTGCATCATTTCCTGATCAGGCACCGTGCGAGCGCATTGTGTGCTTTAGAGGAAGTTAATACTGATAATTAAAAGTTTAAAAAATAAACGTGACAGAAAAGTGTCTTATACTCTCAGGAGGTTAAAGTCACGATGAAACGGTAGCATCGACAGATCTTTTCTTCTTTATTGTGACATGCATCCAAATGTAAAAATGTTGGGCGGGGCTTGGTTCTGTGCATCAGTTGATTGGATGTTGAGATGTGGGCGTGGCTCTAAAATTGTATGCAGATGAGCGTGAGCTTGCAGGGGCGGGGCTTAAATAGTCAAAATGTAAAAAGATGAATTGTTAGAGCTACAACATGCATTTGAAATCGACAGATCTTTTATTCTTTATTGTGACATGCATCCAAATGTAAAAATGTTGGGCGGGGCTTGGTTCTTGGTGCATCAGTTGATTGGATGTTGAGATGTGGGCGTGTATGCAGATGAGCGTGAGCTTGCAGGGGCGGGGCTTAAATAGTCAAAATGTAAAAAGATGAATTGTTAGAGCTACAACATGCATTTGAATGAATGAATGTAATTTGTCTTGATCTTTGTAATAATCTGAATATTTGAGATACTTGTCACAAGGAAGCTTTCCAATAAATAAGGAAATTAGGTTTGTTTTTTCCCCTCATATTGACCTTTTCCTCATAATCCTCAAATATAGGCTACTTTTCCCTAATAGATGTGAATGACTGACTGAAATATCTCTGTTTATTTGTGTTTCCCAAACCATTGGATACCTGTGTCCCTCAGCAATATAACAATTATTTGTGCCTATTTATAGTAATCTGATTATTTTGGGTTAAGGTGTACTTATGATCTAAATGTCATTATATTATCATATTTAAATAACCAAACTTTCATGCTTGGTGTCAAGTGTTTTGTGCAATGATTTGTTTGAACATTTTTAGAAAATAAAAAATAAACATTTTAATAACGTTATGTTTTGGGTGAAAATAAAGGTGGAGTAAAGGAACGATGTAAGAAAGGTTTTTGTAACCTTTAAATAACAACTGTTTATTTGTGTTTCCCAAACCATTGGATACCTGTGTCCCTCAGCAATATAACAATTATTTGTGCCTATTTATAGTAATCTGATTATTTTGGGTTTGGGTTGGGTATTTTTGGGTTTGGGTTAAATAACCAAACTTTCATGCTTGGTGTCAAGTGTTTTGTGCAATGATTTGTTTGAACATTTTTAGAAAATAAAAAATAAACATTTTAATAACGTTATGTTTTGGGTGAAAATAAAGGTGGAGTAAAGGAACGATGTAAGAAAGGTTTTTGTAACCTTTAAATAACATTAATCACGATTTCAAGAATGTTCCCACAACGTTTTTAGAAGCTGCTTATAGTTCTTACTGTTTACATTGAAAATTTAAATTTCTCATGAATCATTTCGGTCATATTTCAAATACTGCACAAAATACGTTCACATTTGTATTATAATGTTGGTAGTTTCATCGCGTGATCAAACCGGGCGTGTGTTTCTTCCTGTAAGTTTCGTTTTCTCTCAGATTGAATCACTCGCTGATTTGGAGTCAAGTGTTCAGTGAATCATTAGCTGATCTGGAGTCAGTGTTCAGTGAATCATTAGCTGATCTGGAGTCAAGTGTCAATTGATTATTTGGCGGATTTGGAGTCAGTGTTCAGTGAATCATTAGCTGATCTGGAGTCAGTGTTCAGTGAATCACTCGCTGATCTGGAGTCAGTGTTCAGTGAATCATTAGCTGATTTGGAGTCAGTGTTCAGTGAATCACTCGCTGATTTGGAGTCAGTGTTCAGTGAATCACTCGCTGATTTGGAGTCAGTGTTCAGTGAATCACTCGCTGATTTGGAGTCAGTGTTCAGTGAATCACTCGCTGATTTGGAGTCAGTGTTCAGTGAATCACTCGCTGATTTGGAGTCAGTGTTCAGTGAATCACTCGCTGATTTGGAGTCAGTGTTCAGTGAATCACTCGCTGATTTGGAGTCAGTGTTCAGTGAATCACTCGCTGATTTGGAGTCAGTGTTCAGTGAATCACTCGCTGATTTGGAGTCAGTGTTCAGTGAATCACTCGCTGATTTGGAGTCAGTGTTCAGTGAATCACTCGCTGATTTGGAGTCAGTGTTCAGTGAATCACTCGCTGATTTGGAGTCAGTGTTCAGTGAATCACTCGCTGATTTGGAGTCAGTGTTCAGTGAATCACTCGCTGATTTGGAGTCAGTGTTCAGTGAATCACTCGCTGATTTGGAGTCAGTGTTCAGTGAATCACTCGCTGATTTGGAGTCAGTGTTCAGTGAATCACTCGCTGATTTGGAGTCAGTGTTCAGTGAATCACTCGCTGATTTGGAGTCAGTGTTCAGTGAATCACTCGCTGATTTGGAGTCAGTGTTCAGTGAATCATTAGCTGATCTGGAGTCAGTGTTCAGTGAATCATTAGCTGATCTGGAGTCAGTGTTCAGTGAATCATTAGCTGATCTGGAGTCAAGTGTTCAGTGAATCATTAGCTGATCTGGAGTCAGTGTTCAGTGAATCATTAGCTGATTTGGAGACAGTGTTCAGTGAATCACTCGCTTATTTTGGAGCATAGACATAATAAATACCTAGACGCCTCATTGGCCGCTTTGAGCCGTCCGCCATGTTAGTGCGGGCAAGACTGCCTTAAAAATAAATGGAGGTAAACGGAGGAGCTGCGGTTTTTTCTAAATCAAATGCAAACAATCAACATCAAACCTTAAGGGGATCCACAATACAGGGATGTTTGACATTTGTAGATTCAGCCAGTCTCTAACATCACTCCAGAACTGGCTGAATCTAAAAATGTCAAACGTCCCTGTATTTAACATCAACCATATCCTGTTTTATGTTGACGATTCAGATAATTCAATATCAGACATTGTGAATGGCCAGGTGGAGCCTGGGGAGAAGGAATGGGATGGAGCATCGAATCATTATTTAAGTAGGAATATTTGTGTATATACGGGTGTAAGAACAGGAAAAGCAAAAACAAGGAATAAATTGATAAATAAACCATGACTGCATAACAGCAAAAGTAGGTGGCGATATGCACACAGGATGTAACACGCCAAAAAACGGAAGAAGAAGATGTGAGAGTTGCCCGCACCAAGATGGCGGCCACGTTGACGTGCGGTCAATGAGGCGTCTAGGTATTTATTAACTCTATGCTCTGAGTCAGTGTTCAGAGATTCGAACTCTGCGCGACTCGGTTCGGTGTCAGAAATCATGGCGGAGGAAACGATCCTGAAAGTGTTGTGCGGGAATCACGGATCGATGGAGTACGAGCGTCTTTTGGAGATTTCATACGGACTGAAAGAAGTGTCCGCGGAGAATTCACTGGATAAGATCATCCGCCGCAGCGACATCTTCACCGTCGTTCAGCGAAGCGAAAGCAAAGAGGTTTTCGCGCAAACTACCGTCGGACTGTGTAGAAGGAGCGAGTGTGAGGAGCTGTGCGGAAACCTGCACCTGTGTAAATATGAGCTGATGACGGGGCGCTGCTGCAGGTAGAGCTGGGGCAAGTTGTCACAGGCCGGTATTGCTTAGATCTCGATAATATTACACCAAGTCTCACTGACTGACTGTAGATGAAGGCGAACCAACCGTTTACAATCAAAACAAAACAAGTGCGAGCTTGTAAATCCACAGATGTAGTGTGCTTTTGTTTAGTTAGAGAATGAAGGGTATGAACAAATGTAACGAGTAACGTGTCGGCGCAAAAACATGGAACGTTTTTTATTTTTTTAATTGTTACATTTTTTTTAAACGTTCAGAGAACATTCATAAGTAACATTCTCATCTCAACCCATACAGCATAAAATAAATATATATATATAATTTTTTTTTTCATATTTCAGAATATAAAATATATATTTGCTAAATTATTTTTCAAAAATATATTTTCTACTAGTATATTTTTGGCCATTTATTTTCAAATATATGAATGTAAATATATTTTCTACCAGCATATTGTTTTGGCAATTTTTGTATATTTTATAATATTTTTTAAAAAGCATTCAAACTCATATCTTGCCCTATGCATTTCAATCCAAGAAATTAATAGATTCACATTTTTGAAGAAAAACTCGATTTGCTGTCTATAACACTAGACATACAGTACATTTTGAATCAATTAAATAGGGAACATGCTTTAAAATGTTCCAAAAAAATTACAAGTACATAAAATGCATTAAATTAAACCTCATTAAATCTAGTTTTGATCTCTAGCAGGCAGGTTACCGTAAGATTCGAAGTGTATTTGTGTATGAAAAATGTATTTTCTATTTAAACAAATATATTTAATTGAGCTTCACCGAATGCAGCATGCATTTAGCATATATTCAAAATATAAGTTTGGCCACAAAAGCATATTTTCTTGCATATGTGAATGATAAGCGTGATGGAATGGAATGTTAAAGACTGGATGTCTTGAGCGTTCTGACAGCATTTAGAAATAACACAAACAAAAACAGACTGTTTTAAGTGTGACTAGTGAGTCTGTGTGTGTTTCTGAAGGCAGGGCTGCAGCTACGGACACCAGCTGATGTCTGAACACAACGTGAGGATCCTGAGAGCTCATGGGATGATGTGTCTGAGTCGAGAAGATCTGTGTGTGATGTTTCTGCAGTCCGACAGCGGCCTCCTGCCTCCCGTGAGCATCTGCACGCCACACATACACTCATTTTCAGGGAAAGATGCTAAAGGCAAGACAACTTGTTGCTAAATGTCATTGCGCGACGACATCGTTATATCATCACAACGCAAATCTGCATAGAATATACACAATCAGATCACTCACATCTCAGCAAAAATATGATTATGAGGATGATTTGAAATGTTCATTTAGATTTGTTAGTAAAACTAAAAAAGAAATATAATATTAAAGCAAGAAGCCGTGGTTAACAACGCCCCTTAGCTGTAATAAATTCACTGTAAACCACGGCTTCTTGAGACTTATTGCTTTAGTACATTTTTCTACATCTTTCTTTTAACTGATCAACAAATGCAGGTACAAACTAACAAGGTGTTATCATAAATGAACAATTATTATTGAACAATTGCAGCTTAGTTCATGTGATATGTGTACAGTTTCCTCTTCTTGTGTAATTCAGAGGGAAAATGTGCCTTTTTTGAGTCACAGTTGCCAAATACATTTTAAAAATAGCTACATTTGTTGCTAGGTGCTTTTTGAAGAAATAGTTGCTAGAGTAGTCTGAAAAGTTGCTAAATCTAGCAACACTGCGTCCAAGCATGTCGCTCTGTTCCGCAGCTGTGCATCGCGTACAACCGAAGCCGAGGGCGGCGTGGAAGCTGTCCGGACGGAGAGACGTGCACGAGGCTGCATGTGTGCGAGAGCTTCGTCAGAGGACGCTGCGGCGACACGGACTGCGGACGCTCGCACGATTTCCACGAGCCTCAGGCGAGAAAAGTGCTGCGCTCCAGAGGAGTGTCGCAGCAGCTCATGAGCTCGCTGCCCTTCATCTACCGCAACATCCTCGCGCTCAAGACTCAAGCGGACCGCGGGAACACGGACGTCCAGCCTCACAGAAGCTCTGACGGAGGTGTCAGGGTTCCTCAGTGGTTTATTGGTTATATGTGACCCTGGAGCACAAAACCAGTCATAAGGGTCAATTTTGGGAAATTGAGATGTATGCATCATCTGAAAGATGAATAAATAGCTTTCCATTGATGTATGGTTTGTTAGGATCGGACAATATTTGAAAATCTGGAATCTGAGGGTGCAAAAAAATCTAAATATTGAGAAAATCATCTTTAAAGTTGTTCAGATGACGTTCTTAGCAATGCATATTACTAATCACACATTAAGCTTTGATGTATTTACAGTAGGAGATTTACTAAATATCTTCAAAGAACATGATCTTTACTTAATATCCTAATGATTTTTGGCATAAAAGAAAAATGTATAATGTATTGTTGGCTATTGCTACAAATATCCCCCAGCGACTCAACACTGCTTTTGTGCTCCAGGCTCACACATGATTCTAATAACACTATGTTTGTATTTCTCCCGTCTCTGAAGCATCATCATGATTCTGATTTAACACGTTCTGTTTTCTCTCCTCATAGAGAGTGAGATCTGCCTGTCGTTTGTCAGAGGATTCTGCGGCACAGGTACGTGTGTGATCGTGTCCGGTCACTAAAGACCCGAAGAGGTCCTGATTTAACCTGAATGCATCTATTTAGTCACGTCACACTTATTTATACAGCGCTATATTATACAATACACTGTTTCAAAGCAGCTATCCTCCTTATTCTTCAATGCGGAAGTAAACCGATGGGCAAAACTTCCGGTTTGTTAGACGCCTTAGAGAAATAACGAGAAGAATAACAACGTGCATTACAAACCAGTGTGTTCATAATTAAGATTATACATTAAAATAATAAGGTTAGACACGCCTATCAAGCAACAAAACGAGCTAAAAATAGCTGGATGCGCATGAGATCGACATTCTGAAAGCATCCTTATGATGTTACTTGTACCTGATGAACATTCTAAAAACGTTATTTTGTAACCTTTAAAATAATGTTCTACTCTTGACAAGAAAACTGGCCGTTTAGCGTTGTGCGAATATTAAAAATAGACGTTTAAATATTTGGGGTGAAAGTAACGTTTTTTTGTTAGAAATGCATTTGTAACCTTTCAGTGACATTATAGCCATGACCACCTTAGAAACATTTTAAAATAATGTTCCCACGCTTTTATAACCTAAATTTGTTATCATTATTCAAATCTATCAGTTAAATTGATGATATGCCTGAATTTGAATAGTCTTTTTTAGTAACAGCGATCAGCTAATCACCAAATACAGTGTTGTTTTAGTAGAATTGAGTTCCCTTATGACTGGTTTTGTGCTCCTGGGTCACATTTGTAGTAAAACATTGGTTAATATTTTTATTTTTATTTTTTAAGGGTTGAAATGCACACACAACTTCATCCAGCTGCAAAATTCAAAGATTTTAATTGTAACTGTGAGAGAGAGAGAGAGAGACGCCAACTGAAGCCATTTGGGCCCCAAACAAATTGAGTTTGAATCTGAGTGAATAATGCATGCTTCTGCACAGTTCTGGAAACGAGCCGGTGTGTTTTGAGGAAATGACCCTGGGTCTGGATAAGGTCCGGCGTCTCTCCACGCAGTCCTCGGTTCTCCTGCCCGGCTTCACCCTCACCACCTGCTGGTGCTGGTACTGGAAGAACGAGTACCACCGCTGGATCCAGTACGGGTCGATAGTGCGTCCCGACTCGCTCTGGTCTGTTTGTATTGTGTGTGTGTGATCAGGCAGGATCTGCTGATGATGCTGTTCTTCTCAGGCGGAGATGCACCGGATGTCTTCGGTCAGCATCGAGCAGCTGGAGCTCAGATATCAGGAGTATCTGCAGCAGGAGCAGGAGGACGCTGGGATCAAGTTTAGCGCCGGAAACTGCTTCTATGAGCTCCGCTTCGCAGGTTTGCTTTGTGTGAGGCCGTATCCACCTTATTTTTCAACGTGGACGTAAGCCGTCTTCTGTGAATGTGTGAGACTTCCGGTTCATTAGCCACTGTAGGGAAATAACCAGAAGAATGACGAAGTGCGGTAAACGGCAAAATTGTTTGAAATACAAACTAGTGTGTTTATAATTAACTCTTTCCCCACCAGCGTTTTTGCGGATTTTCACTCAAATTTCATGGCCGCCAGAATATTTTGTTTTATGAATATCTGAACACGCAATACATCACAATAAAATCAGACCGTCTACTTTCAAACAAAAGAATCTGTTTGATTCTAGCGTCAAGCATTGCTTTTTTATCAACACTTGAATGTAGGTAGGTTTCATAAGAAAAGCAACATTTTGAGCAAATTGCATTTTTATCAAATACTGCATCTGGATCATATTCGGTAATATTATCAGAGCAAAGCTGCAGAAGATGGCTTCCATCAGCAAAGCTTGCACACTTTCTGGATCCACATTTCACTCGCTAACATCAGGCAGTTTTCATTTATACGCGGTTAGTGTTGATGATCGCATTATTTTTCATATGCATGCGCTTACATCTGAGATCGCTGGTTTCTGCGTCTTCCTCGCCTGTGTTTTTGATCGAGTGACGCGTAATACCGCCCCCTAGCGTATATCAGTGGAAACACAGAAAATTCCGTGTTTGGTGGGGAAAGAGTTAAGATAATAATAATGAAACATGCTAGGAACGTGTTAAAAGATGTTAGCAATGTGTTAAAACATGCTAGAAACATGTTGGTGTTAAAACATGCCAATTCATGCTAGAATAATGTTAAAATATGCTAGGAACATGTTAATTTTTGCTAGGAATTCTTACAAGCAATGTGTCAAACATGTTAGCCATGCATTAAAACATGCTAAAAACATGTTAGCAACATGCCAATTCATGCTAGCATAACGTTTAAACATTAACATGGTATGGTAAATAGTAAAACATGCTAGGAGCATGTAAAAACATGATAGTAATGTGTTAAAACATGATAGCAACATGCCAGTCCATGCTAGTTCATGATTTACGATCATGTTAAAACATGCTAATAAGGTTAGCAATGTGCTAAACATGCTAACAGTATGTTAATTCAAGCTAGCAACATGTTAATCATGTTAGAAATCAGCTCATTCATGTTTGCAATGTGTCAAACATGTTAGCCATGTGCTAAAACATGCTAGAAACATGTTAGTAACATGTTAAATCACATTAACCATGGGTTAATAGATGCTAGCAACATGCCACCATAGTCCTAAAACATGCTAATGTATTGTAAAAATATGCTGAGAACATGTTAGTTTATGCTAGCAACATGTTAGCAAACGGGATAACTGATCTTAGCAATGTGTTAAAACACACTAGATACAAGCTAGCAATGTGCTAAAACATGCTATCAACATCCTAATTCATTTTAGCAACATGCTAATTAATGTCAGCAATGTGCAAATAATTGTTAGCATGCGCTACCACATGCTAGCATAGTGTTGACGTGCTAGCAACATGCTAATGCATGTAAGACATGTACTAAAACATGCTGGCAACATTGTGATGCATGCTAGCAGCATGTTAAAACATGTTAGGAACATACTAATTCATGCTAGCAACATGCTAAAAGATCCTAGCAATGTGTTAAATCATGCTAGGAACATGCTAGCAGTGTGCAAAATCATGCTATCAACTTGCTAAAACATGTTAGTGACATTAATTGACTTTGTTACTTACATCTCTGAGTAAATCCTTCAAACTTCAAGCTTTCCAGATTTACTTGAAACTTTCAGAACTGTGTTTTTGTCAAGCCAACATCACAAGTTTGTCATGAAGCTGTACTCATCTAGTTACTGCTAATCTTGTTCACAGACATGAAGCAAAGAAATGAGGTGAGCGGCACAGAGAGAGCCGTCAGGCGCCGGCCCGTGTTTGTCTCGTCGGTCGGCGTCCGGATCGCCAGAACGAGGTGACGACGCTCTCCAGCGGGTTTATGTCAAGCTTCTGCCTGTTGTTTTGCGTTATTCTGCCTGATCTTGTTTTCCAGATGTTGCGGAGCCAGTAAGACTCACTTTTCTAAAGGCGTTCCTGGATTTTGGGACCAAAATGCCATTCCAGACTTTGGATTTCAGGTTGGGATTTTTGCTTCATCATCACTACTAACCGATACCACAGGGGCTGGATTCACAAAACATTCTTAACTCTCTCCCCGCCAAAAGAGCCTGTTGTACACTAGGGGGCGCTATTACGCATCTCCTGAATGAGTCTAGAATCACTCGATCAAAAACACAGGCGAGGAAGACGCAGAAACCAGCGATCTCAGATGTAAGCGCATGCGTATGAAAAATAATGCGATCATTATTTTTCAATAAATGAAAACTGCCTGATGTTAGCGAGTGAAATGTGGATCCAGAAAGTGTGCAAGCTTTGCTGATGGAAGCCATCTTCTGCAGCTTTGCTCTGATAATATTACCGAATATGATCCAGATGCAGTATTTGATAAAAATGCAATTTGCTCAAAATGTTGCTTTTCTTATGAAACCTACCTACATTCAAGTGTTGATAAAAAAACAATGCTTGACGCTAGAATCAAACAGATTCTTTTGTTTGAAAGTAGACGGTCTGATTTTATTGTGATGTATTGCGTGTTCAGATATTCATAAAACAAAATATTCTGGCGGCCATGAAATTTGTGAAAATCATCTAAAATGCTGGCGGGGAAAGAGTTAACTGCCATTTTCTTCTTATTTTCTAACTTCTTAAGAATATTCTGATCTTTTTTCTTAAGATTGTTTTTAAGACAAAACTTAAGAAGAATTCAAATTCTTAAAAAGAATCTTCTTAAAAATGAAGTTCTTCGTTTTAGACGACGACTTAAAGTTTGGCTAACCTCAGACTTGCCTTAAATCCCTTAAAATGTTTTAATGAATTTATTGGCTTATTTCAAATTAATTGTTATATTTAAGCTCTACAACAACACTAGCTACATCGTCAGACGAACGAGGTGCACAAGTGTTCTGCAGTGACACACCAGTGACTTACAGTGTAAAGCATGATCGGTCGTCATTACGTGTGACGCAACTTTTTTGCTGAATTCAGTAAGAACTCTACAGAAACGAGTCAGACAGGGTGCCTATTATGATTATTAGAGTAATCTGCAGGAAGTGCAAAAAGACGATCCTTGAGGTGCGAGTTCATCAGTGCGTAAATTCTTAAGAAAAAAAAGATGTTCTTATTGCACTCAAGAACTGTATCTTGTGAAATTTCTTATTTCTTTGAAGTTTTCCTTGATCTCTTGTTTATCTGCAGAGAGTCCGTCTCTGGCCGTCTCACAGGGATTACGTGAGAGTCCACGAGCGCTTCAGCCAAACTCTGAGGGGTTTCACCGTCCGCCGGATCGAGCGTGTGCAGAACAGGGAACTCTGGGAAGACTTCATGCTGTGGGTATCAGAACCGATCGTCTGTCGCAAATCATCCGTCTTTTAGTTTGCATAAACATGCATTTTTCCACAGAAAAAAGGAGCGGATGAAAACTACGAACAAGCAGGAGAAATTTGGCGATCGGCTTTTATTCCACGCCACCGAATCCTCTCTCGTCGAAGCGGCGTGTCTGAGAAACGTTGACTTTGAGACGTCGGATACAGCAGCGTATGGACAGGGTGTGTTTCTCATTCCTGTAGATGACGGATCGACTGTATTTTTAAAGTTTTTTTAAAATTAGTTTCTTATGCTCATCAAGGCTGCATTTATTTGATCAAAAATACTGAAAAAAATGTGAAATATTATTACAATGTAAAATAACGTTTTTATATTTTAATAGACAGTAAAATCTAATTTATTCCTGTGATCAAAGCTGAATTTTCAGCTTCGTTACTCCAAGTATCACACGATATGTTGATTTTTATCAGTGCTGGAAACAGTTGTGTGGCTAAATATTTATTTTTTTATTGTTTGGAACGCGTGCTGCGTTTTTTCAGGATACTTTGATGAATGAAAAGTTGAAAAGAACAGCCTACCGTTTAAAGTAATTTTTTATCTTGTCTTTTTTTGAAATAAATTAATACTTTTATTCAGCGAGGATGTGTTAAATCGATTAAAAGTGAAAGCAAAGATTTATATTTTGAATAAACGCTGTCCTTTTTAACATTTTATTCATCAAAGAATTCTGAAAAAAGTATCACAGGTTACTAAAACAAATTGGCAACATTGTGTATAAATCAGAATATTATACTGATTTCTGAAGATCATGTGACACTGAAGACTGGAGGAATGATGCTGAAAATACAGCTGCGCATCACAGAAATACATTACAGTTTAAAGTATATTAAAATAGAAACCATTATTTTATATTCTAATAACATTCGCAATATTACTGTTTTTTTTCTGTATTTTCGATCAAATAAATGCAGCCTTGATGAGCAGAAGAGACTTACTGAACTCAAACTTTTGACTGGCGGTGTATGTACAGTTTAATAAGCTTTGTGACGTAGTTTTCCTCCTGTCTGACAGGGATTTATCTCTCAAAGGACGCCAGGTACTGGATTGAGCGGGAGGACGGTTGTGCGACGAGGCTGATGTTCGCGTGCAGGGTGCTGGTTGGGTATTACACCAGAGGAGCGGCTCGTTTCCGCCACCCTCCGGCCAAAAACACTGACGGAAGTCTGTACGACAGCTGTGTGGATAATCCACGTGACCCGTCTGTTTTCGTAGTGTTTGACAGGTGTCAGAACAATATTACGGGTTTTTTTTCTGTATTTTCGATCAAATAAATGCAGCCTTGATGAGCAGAAGAGACTTACTGAACTCAAACTTTTGACTGGCGGTGTATGTACAGTTTAATAAGCTTTGTGACGTAGTTTTCCTCCTGTCTGACAGGGATTTATCTCTCAAAGGACGCCAGGTACTGGATTGAGCGGGAGGACGGTTGTGCGACGAGGCTGATGTTCGCGTGCAGGGTGCTGGTTGGGTATTACACCAGAGGAGCGGCTCGTTTCCGCCACCCTCCGGCCAAAAACACTGACGGAAGTCTGTACGACAGCTGTGTGGATAATCCACGTGACCCGTCTGTTTTCGTAGTGTTTGACAGGTGTCAGATCTACCCAGAGTTTCTTATTACCTTCGAGGAGAGTAACAAGTGTTTAGTGTCTGGTATCGCTCGGGTCGACACAAAAGAATCTAGTCGAACCGCTGAAGCCACAGAACCAGAGCGAGCCTCGGTTATCTCCACCAACTCCAGCGGGTGCACAAGCTTGGACAGTTCACTCGAGGGTCCAGATTCTGATCCAGAACACACCTCGTCCTCCTCCAGACGAACAGAACCTCTCATTACGCTCTTAAGCTCAACATTAGACACAGATGTGGGCGTCTCCGCTGCACTTCCTGTCTCAACTAAAAGTGCCACGAATGCACTTCCTGTCTCAACTGAACGCATCTCCACTGTACTTCCTGTCTCAGAAAAACGCAATTCCACTGCACTTCCTGTCTCACCTGAGGACATTTACAATGCATTTCCTCTTTCAGCGAAGGGCATATCCTCTGCACTTCCTGTCTCAACGGAACGCATTTCCACGGCACGTCCTGTCTCAGAAAAACGCATTTCCTCTGCATTTCCTGTTTCAGCTAAAAGTGTCTCCACTGCATTTCCTGTCTCACCTGAGGACATTTCCAATGCATTTCCTCTTTCAGCGAAGGGCATTTCCCCTGCGCTTCCTGTCTCGAGTGGAAGTGCCTCGAACGCACTTCCTGTCGCAACTAATCGCTTCTCCCCTGCGCTTCCTGTCTCGAGTGGAAGTGCCTCGAACGCACTTCCTGTCGCAACTAATCGCTTCTCCCCTGCGCTTCCTGTCTCGAGTGGAAGTGCCTCGAACGCACTTCCTGTCGCAACTAATCGCTTCTCCCCTGCGCTTCCTGTCTCGAGTGGAAGTGCCTCGAACGCACTTCCTGTCGCAACTAATCGCTTCTCCCCTGCGCTTCCTGTCTCGAGTGGAAGTGCCTCGAACGCACTTCCTGTCGCAACTAATCGCTTCTCCCCTGCGCTTCCTGTCTCGAGTGGAAGTGCCTCGAACGCACTTCCTGTCGCAACTAATCGCTTCTCCCCTGCGCTTCCTGTCTCGAGTGGAAGTGCCTCGAACGCACTTCCTGTCGCAACTAATCGCTTCTCCCCTGCGCTTCCTGTCTCGAGTGGAAGTGCCTCGAACGCACTTCCTGTCGCAACTAATCGCTTCTCCCCTGCGCTTCCTGTCTCGAGTGGAAGTGCCTCGAACGCACTTCCTGTCGCAACTAATCGCTTCTCCCCTGCGCTTCCTGTCTCGAGTGGAAGTGCCTCGAACGCACTTCCTGTCGCAACTAATCGCTTCTCCCCTGCGCTTCCTGTCTCGAGTGGAAGTGCCTCGAACGCACTTCCTGTCTCGTATGGTTCTACGTCTGTGACTAGCAGAAAACCTGCAGCGCAGAAGAACAGCTGCACTGTCATGTGATCTGTTACGGCGCTGCACAAATGATTTTCTTGCTTCGTATTTCTGTCTTGTGTTCTTGTATAAACATCTAAACATTCTTGAATCAAGGTGCATTTACTGGACGAGTAAAATGGCTTAAGATATTAAGTCTTGTTTTCTAAAAACAATTATCAAAATTTAGATAAGAAAAATAATTAGTGCTGGGCAACAATTAATCACATCCAAAATAAGTTTTTGTTTATATAATATGTATTGTGTATATTTATTATGTATATATTAAGACACACATACAGTATATATTCTGAAAATATTTACATGTGTATATGTATTTTCATATAATTTATATTATATATAAATATATTTAATATATAAACATAGCATACTTTTCTTAAATAGATATATACATGCATGCATGTGTGTGTATTTATAGATACATAATAAATATACACATGTACACAAACTATTATTTTGGATGCGATTAATCACGATAAATCTTAATTCAAGGCTAAACAAGATTATTTTTCTTGCCCCATTGGCCGATATTTTTGCTTGTTTTAAGATAACTTTTTTAGAAAACAAAAATTAATATCTTAAGCCACTCGTCCAGTAAATGCATCTTGATTCAAGAATTTTTAGATCTTTATACTAGAAAACAAGACAGAAATACTAGGCAAGAAAATCATAACTTGATTTAGTGTCATAGCATGCGCTAAGTTACTGCTCTGCATTCAATGAGAGAAATAATATTGAGTTCAAAGGTGTAAGTTTGTTATGCATGTCATATAGACGTAACGGTTAATTATTAATCTGGAAACCTTTCCTGATGAGGAAGATGTGAGGAAGTCATCTGATAATCTAGTCGTATAACTGCACGATCACATCACGTTTATAAACGTGCAGAACTGAAACACTGTTTGGTTTGGTTGTTAGTTCCTGATATTTAGTTCTGTTCTGGTCAGGTTTGGTTTGGTTTCTTGTCAATTCGAATGGAATAAAAGCTGACACCAAACAGCTCTCTGGTGTCTTTGGTCTTTTTATATTTTACTTTGCATGCATGCATTTGTTAGATGCTTCTATCCAAAGCGACCTACTTTGCATTTGATCATTTCTTGAAATAATGCATTTGCATCCTAATAGTTTCATAGTTTGCTCTGGCCTTGCTGGTGGTTTAATCTCTTGTTTTAGTGCATTTCCTGCAAATATGGAAAAATAAAGGGTCTCAATAAAATGTTATGTTAACAAAGATATAGTAAAGAGTTTTGGTGCATGTTATCTTTAAGGTGTCTACCATTAAGTATAGTTTTTAATTATCGCATTAATTAGTGTCATAGAATGAGTAAACATGTTGATGGCAACAATAGTGACCTGTGGAATAATACCGTGCATGTAGATGTATATAAAATATATTTATACCTTGCTACGTGTACTGCGTTAGGCTAACCATTTGCACTTATATATTGTTGCTCTTTTGATTGCTTCTATTGTCTATTTGGATAAAAGCGTCTGCTAAATGACTAAATGTAATGTAAATACACATATAAAAGCATTTGCAGCTATTACTGAACGTTGCACTAAAATGCTGCAATGACAACGTTACAGTGAATATTGCACTGAATTCAAAGTTCAATTGTTACAAATGAAGTTACTATATTGATGTTGTGATACTTGAAGCACTAATATAAGGGTTTTATATAAAGTAGCAATTTTTAAATATGTTGCTGGTTGTATTTTTTCTCAGTATTCCTATCAGTGTTGTATAAGGGTTTTTAACCCAAGAATGTGATGAAACCGAGTTTAAAATAGCTGGGCTGAGATATATAACAATTATATATAGATATACTGTATATGACTGCAGAAATATGTCAATTCTGAAAAAAAAAATAAAAAAAAAATAAGGTAGCCTAATATGGCTTTAGAACAGCATCAGGTGAGAGTGTGTGTGTGTGTGTGTTTGTGATGTGAGTGTGTGTGTGTTTGTGTGTGTGTGAGTGAGAGCGAGAGTGTGTG